CTGATGGCTCGGTACGTCCGCATCCAGGTGCCTCGTCGTTCCGGCCGTCGCCTACGGTGGTTCATGGTCCTCGGGAACTTCTACAAGAATTCACCATTGCACTTCGCAATGCATACCGTGAACCTTTCACGGCATGGACACAGGGTGAGCTGGATGAAATGGTGAGACGGAAGAAAGACAAGGATTCCAGGCCCACCTATAAGACCATAGCTCGGCTTCTTCAGAAGCCGATTGAAGAAGTCAAGCAGGCATGGCAGGTCTATCAACAACTTGAGGCTCGCGGCTAGGAACGCGGTCGTCAAATGCAGCAGCGACCATCGGAGGACTAAATGGTAAGCTGCGGCGGCGTGTCCGGCTCTAGTTGTTGATCACATGATATTTGCTTGCTTGCACGTGGCTTACTCTTGCTTGTCGTTTTGGGAGATGCCGTTGACATGCAGTGAAGTCATGACTGAGTTGCTCAAATCATGTCGGAACAAGTTGTACAGACGTACATTACCTGGACCCATGGAGCGCAGCCGACGTGGTTACAATTTCATGGACCCGGGGCTTTACTCGACAGACCCATTCGGCAGACTACGTCGCCTCCGCCCCCGCCAAGTCTGCCATTGCTTCTTCCACCTCCTCCTCCACCACCACCACCACCACCGGTGATTCTACACCCACAGTTTATGCCCTCGGTACGCAGCCCCTCGATCTCAGCCCCTCGCGGACAATCCTGCCCTACCTCTTCGAAATCGCAGCGCACACGCCGCTCGATCTACAGCACTGATCCTTCCCGTGATGAAGAACCACGCAGTCCAGGGCGCTCGTCCAAACGATCTCGGACAGCATCAGCTTCAGCGCCGCGGCGATCTCGACGGCCCTTTACAGTGTTTTCTTCCAAACGTGCTGGCCGTCCATCGCAGTCCCCATCGGCAACTTGCAAACATTACTGTCATGCCATCCTGCGCCATGGGCGGAAATGTCTTTCCCCTTGTGCTCGCAGACGACCAGGACACTATCATTGCAGGTGTGCGCGACATCAACGACAGTGAAACCTAGGAGTCGGACATTTCAGACCTCGTTGCTGTGTTTCACCTTGAGTTTGAAAAGTTGCATCACTCTCCAGCGGATGTGCGCGGTTGGCAATGCATGTGTGTCTTTGCCGCAGACTTTCGACTAGTTTAGCAGTCGTGCGAGCCTGTATTGCCGCTATGAACCCCCAGTATTTCGAGTACCAGATCGATAGAGGAGTGGAATGGATTCGAATTTACTCTCCGGGCATTTGGAGACCCGTTCCCGATGATGCTCCAGTTCCTGACCCACTCCACGCTTCCACGTATCGGGAGTGGCGCAGATCATATCACTTCCAAGTGTACTGGTCTGAAGACAGCACCGGAGGCACCACAACGGATCCCATAGTCACGCCCAGTTCCTATGTGTCCTACCACGTGTGGGAGTACCGAGACTGGCAAACACGAGGGTATCAACGACTTGGAGCTCCTGTACAATCCATCGGATTCGCGATGCTCGTGAATGCAGACGTCGATTCCTCGGTGGGCTCATCGGTACCGGATGGGGCGTGGCGGGAACCGTCGCCGCCACCATTCCATGATCCTTGGAATGATTCGGAGTGACACTTGAGTAGCATGTTGGATAAAGATGCGGTTGTGCTTGCTTTGTATGTGAGTCCACGTTGGGTTGTCTTGCTTGGTGGTGTGCATGCCGTCTCTATGTGTTCGCCGCTTTCCTTGATAACTTTGAGCAGCTTGCCGGGTTGAAATGTTCAATAGTACAGTGCATGGTGCAGCACGATGGGTCCTACCTCGCTATTTTGACTACGACATCGTCAATGGGCCAGCAAATACGAGTGTGGAATGGATTCGGATCTATGTACCGGGTCAGTGGCATCCAGTCGCCACGAACACCCTGGGACCGGCCCCGGATGACCCGACCACCTATCGGGAATGGCGCAAGGTCCACCACTTCGAAGTGTATTGGCCTAGGGAAAGCACAGGCGGCACCACCACAGGCACGGTTTTGCAACCGGTATCCTACGCAACCTTCTATACTTGGTATTACAGGGACTGGGTCACCAGGGGATACCAACGCCTGGGTCGTCCACGTCCCAGCATAGCGAGGCCAGTTTTCGCTTCGGGTGCACCGGACCTCATGTATGCTGGATTGACCTCCTCCTCGGCATCATCTAATTCACATGATGGCTGATGCCCGTCCTCGCCTTCCTGGGGAGTCTGTTCAGTTCAATTCGATTCGGGAGATTGACTTCGATGCTGGAGCCGCGCAGTGCTGCAAAAGTGGTCTTTTGCATTATGATAGTTGTTTCGCTTTCACTCGTTGTTGTCTGCAGCCGTACACCTATCAATTTGTCTTTCCGTGGTTGCGTTGTCATGGCGTGGCTGGAATGGTGTCCGGATCCTCAACAACCAGATGCCCAGTGGGTCAAGATCTTTCATCCGGGACCATGGACGCCACAAGAAGAACATGATGCTCCACCTCCTCCGCATACTTTTAGAGAATGGAGGGAGTTCTATGCTCCCAACCAGGACTCAGTCGGTGGGCAGGTCCAAGTCACCACGTGGTACAAACGAGACTGGGCCACAGAGGGCTATCGGAGAGTCGCTGCCCCTCACGCTGGTCATGAATTTGATTCCATGTATCCCCCTGATCATCACAGCGTGGCCACGCAGTCTGCGGCATTGAGTATGTCGCCGGAGCTGTTAGACGCGATTCTCAGGTCCTCGGATGCGGCTGATTTCTCTACTGAAGAACTGACTCGTCTCCAGGAGGGGATTTCTCAACAACATTCAACAACTGACGGCTCGCGCACGTCAAGCTTCCCATCCTCATCAACCAGTACGTGCATCGCGTGGAAACACACCATCGGAGACGATTGGGGTCTCCGAGCCCTACCGGCCCGTGAATCCTTCCGACAGTGGCAGAGACAAGACGAGTCCCATCTTCGAGCTGACTGAGGACTAGACTCGCATGAGTGGCGCAGCGTACAAAATAAGGGTGGTCTCTACACTTGCATGATCTTGCTTGGTTGTTGTTTGAACATGGTTGTGCATGGTGCCTGTTCCTCTACTAGCTGGATCGGAGCCCGCGACAATCCTTGCCTCTTACTTCGACATGGACATCGATGATTCGAAGCAGCACCCATGGCTCGAATATTCGGTCTGGCAGGATCAGGAGTGGGTGCGGATATACACTCCAGGACAGCCTCAACGATGGCACCGCGGTGACGCCGTACCTGATCTACCTGAAAATTCTTTTCGGGAATGGCAGCGGGTGACTGATCCCAATGAGCCGGTCCAGGCATGGGACATCCGTGACTGGCAACATCAAGGGTACCAGCGCATTCTGTCTCGGATTGAGTCCTTCGCAACTCATTATCCACATGATCAATCTCTTGGTCAAGTTCGGAACTCCGATGCCGTTCCAGTTGAGGAGACCTTCACCTACGCCACTCCGTTTTCTCATGGTGATCGCCCGGCTGCTTCGCAAATCGCTTCAGTCCTCTATGGCGACACTCGCAACGCTCAACGTGGTGATCTCTCGTTCCCGTCTTCTGAGCGGTTTAGGGCTGTGTCTCGCTCCCCTCGCCGTGGAGGATATTTTGGTCAACGATAGAGATTCGAGTTTGAGCATGTGATCTTCCTGCAGGAGAAAAGAGAAACCTCGCCCCTCGTAGAGGGGCGTGTGTGTGCGGAGTGGCAGAAAACCCTGCCACCAAAACCTTTTTCTGTTGCAGCAGGGGGGCAAGGCCTCCAGTGATGAACCTTGCCCAACGAAGCTGCATCACTGGAGGGGATGCAAGGCCTGATCAGCCTTGTGTACCTGCACTCTTGAGTGATTCTGAAAGTCTATTTGGCCCTCTTCTTTCGCTTGCTGTGTGTGCTTCATGTTGAATCTTGTAACGCTTTCGTCACTAGAGGGAAGCCGAGTGCATCGCGAGCCGAAACTTATCTTACTCGAGACTTATCAGTTGTACTCGAGACTCATCAGTTGTACTCGAAAGATTAGCACTCTCCATCTGGAGTTCAAGTGTGTGTGTGTGTGTGTGTGCGTGTGTGTGTGTAAGCATCACTACAAAAGGCAAGATCTGTGTGTTTGGTAGCTTCTTCCTTTGTTCTCGATTGTGGCGCTGTTGCTGTTGCTGTTGCTGTTTTTGGGTGTTGTTGTTCAGAGTACCATCAAGACGCCGTCGCAGCACAGAAGCACCATCCAAGCGTGCCCAAAGAAAGGGAAACAAGCTCGCGCGGACAGGGCGGGAATCGAGCCCGGGACCTTTCGCCGGACCACGAGACAAAACCCCCACGGTCCCCGGAGCCGCCAAAAAAGCAAAAAACATCAAGTTTGTGCGAGCCTGCGCGTTTTGACCGCAGAAGTCGCCAACTCACTTTGTGCGAGCCTGCGCAATCGAAACGCGTTTCAACATCAAGCAAAAGCACGAATCTGCGGTAAATACCACGCAAAACGCTCGCGGCCAGAAGTCGCCAACTCACTTTGTGCGAGCCTGCGCAGTCAAAACGCACTTCGACATCAAGCAAGAGCACGAATCTGCGGTAAATACCACGCAAAACGCTCGCGGCCAGAAGTCGCCAACTCACTTTGTGCGAGCCTGCGCAGTCAAAACGCACTTCGACATCAAGCAAGAGCACGAATCTGCGGTAAATACCACGCAAAACGCTCGCGGCCAGAGCGGGCACCTCAATCTGGCACCAAGGCCTTTTCTCTTACCGTAAGAACCCCTTAGTGTAGACACACTGTTTGGGGAAGGAAAACAACAAACATAGCAATAACAAACCCAGTTCCACCTTCCCACCTTCCGGTGGGATCCGGTGGGACGAGGTGGGCGTCGAAGACCCCTTCACTGTTGACCCCAGTGAACCCTGAAAACAGAGGGCCCCTGCAGGAAATTCACAGGTCCGGGACGTTTTTGAAGTGGGGGGTTTCATCGGTCAGCCGCGCGTTAACCCCCGGCTCGGGTCTCGGGCAAACATGGCGCAGCCCGGGTGGATAGGAAGCTGCCACGCCACCTACTTGGAAAGGTCCAGTAAAGTGAAGCCATGGTCAGAACTTCGGGGTTCGTCACCTGAATCCATAGTTGAAACCTACTAAGTGGGTTGGGTTCTTTTTGGGTGAACATCCAAGGAGGGCCGGAAATTTCGATGACCGACCAGTTGGAGGGCTTGAATTTCGGATTCTGTGATTTCTGAAAGGCGTGCCCAAGATATTTCTCCCAAACAGCATGGACCAACGTGGCAATTAATAAGTGTTGTTTTTAGGGTTGATCAACCTCAGATCTTTTCCTTTTGTTAGCGTCACAGAAGGAAGCCACACAGGCATTCTTGAATAACCCTCATGTGAGTAGTCAATATTCAAGAGCGTGCTCCTAAAGTACATTCAGGCGTTTGGGTGACACATTGAGCGGTCTGAACTGGAACCTTGCCGTGCCTCCTTTTCCAGATCGCAATCTGTTGCTGTGCCCACGCCAAACTTTGTTGTTTTCTGGATATGTGTCAACAGGGCGGATCCCCAAGAATTTGTTTCTCCTTCGGATTTTGGTCGTCTCTCGGGAAACTCTTTTCTTGTGATTCACCCCCGTCTTATACTCACGAGTCAAAACCCATCGCCGCTTTGTGGTTTCATTGGGGGCTTTGAATGGCTAGGCAGTCTCCAAATCTCTGGAAGGTTCAACTTGGATCCCGCAAAGTTGTCTTCCCAGTGTCCAAAAAGGCTAAAAGCTTGGATTCGGAGAAGACAACTCATCCCACGGCTTGCCGGTTGGAAGCTGTCCATAAACATCAATCGAATAAAAATCCCACCTGTTGTGCTTGCCTCGTAGGACAATGGTGAAATGACCTATCCGACCTGGGCCTGGGGTGGCTTCAAGGGAACTCCCAGTTCTCCCAGCTTCCTTACTGTTTCAGTGCCCTTGGTCTTTCAATTTCAGAACTTTCAATTTGGTTGCCGCCACGAAACAAAGAACAGCTCGAACTTCAAAAGTGTGGTCGTGGCGAGGGAACCACTGCTTCTCCTCTGACCGATGCACAGATGGGCAAGGGGGGACAACTCAATTTTGTCTTCGGGCTTCCTTTCGATCCCGCTCTAATTTCACTTCTTGTAAGGATTGGCCAACAAAAGCTGGTCCAACCGCAAACAATCTCAAGTCCAGGAACTCAAGGAGGAATAAACCAACCTTAAGGGTCTCAAAAAGCGAATCCACCAGATCCGATCGATCCGATCCTCAGCTATCAGCAAATAGAGCAGAGCCCCAGGGCCGCAATACATGTAGAGCAGCACCTGCAATACCGCGGCCTTGGGGTGAAGGCGCAAGATTCGTGACGACACATTGAGCTTGAAACTCTTTTTTCAGGCGAAGGGCACCCTTCGGTTGGTGAAACCAAAAGGAAACCACCCACTTTGTTGGTTCCCCCTTGGGACGAACCCACACTCCCTGTGGAGCCCACACCTCCCCTTGAAGACTAAAGTCGCCCGAAACTGGAGGTGTGTTGCTCCCATGACTCCAAAGCATAGCCATTGGGAGACACGTCCGGACTCACGAATGACTTCAATCCAGAGGTGCCTGACCAAACGAAAACACACCCCTGGCAATCCCCGAGGTGGACATTCGAGCCTTTGAAGTTCACAGCTCGAGGCACCACCCGCGCATACTTTGCGCAGCTGTCGTGAAAAGCTGCAGGCTTTTGCAGGAAAAATGCCTCAGATCTCAAACTCTGGGTTCCCTGGAGTCCTCTCATAGGCCTCGGGGTAACTGGCGGGAGGGAGGGAACCTGACAATTGTCTGTGCCCAAATGGTTTTTGGCTCGCCCAAGTCACTGCGACAGGCCAGGTCTCAACTCCTCACCAACTCAGCTGGACGCCTCTATTCATGGAACCCAGCAAACGCACATAACCAAAATTGGGACACGCTTCTTTGCTTTGGGCAAGTTTTGTTCCACGAAACAAAAGGTGTAAGTCCCAATATAGACAGAACTGAGATGAGCACAGTTGTTGCGCGGCCCACAACATGTTTCGAGAATCCCGTTTTGGGTTTCTTCTAAATGATGACCACCAGTCATGCACAAGACTTTGGTAAAACTGGGAAACCTCATTTTCACGAGTGGTCCGTTCGATACGAGCCCGAAAGCCTCCCTGCGGAATGACACAAATGGAGGCTAGGTTGGGCCAAGCAGGTGAAACCCCTGAAATGCACTCATGCTTGTCCAAATCCCAGAACTCAATGGGTTTCAACTTCTTCTTCGACAAAATGACCTTGGACATTTGCGGAATCAGGCGCCACTCGACAAGTACTTTTGCAAACCACAACATAATGAACTCGTCAAATAACACGTTGAAGCTTCAAACAGGCTGTCCCTTGAAACCAAGCATTCTCGACAACGCCTCCTTTCAGTTCCTTCAAGGAGCGCCAGGGTCGGCGGTCTTTTCCCACACACACGTTTCAGGCTTGGTTTAAGGTTTGCTTATTTCTGGGGGGTAAATGCCACCAAACGCTACGATAGCCCGCAAGAGAGCCGCCAAAAGGCCTGTTGAGAGTGGGCTTTGGATTTCTCGGGTTGTTCGGGGTTGGGATTTGAGTTTGCTGTACAAGGTCGGTCGAGCGGGGGGAGTTGGCGGCGCAACCTCCCGAAGAACACACATAATCATACAAATAGAACAACTATGCGGATACAAGTACTAAGCTGGTAGTGATGCCGCTAGGGTTGCTGGTGATATTGCGGAAAGCCAACGCCACAAAAGCTGCTAGGTTGTAGCTTTATAAGGGGGCTAACCCCAGTAGTTGTAACCATGGTCATAAGTAGCTATAACTAAGTTATAACCTACTAAGTGGGTTGAACATTCAAGTAGAGCTCGGGGCCCAAAGGGAAGCTTCCTCCAAACAGAAGGAACAAGCGACACTTCAGAGTACGCCTCGCATGCTTTGCTTTGCACAATCCGTATCCAAAGCCTTGGGTTCAAGGTGCATTGCGGCCAAAGAGGGCGACGATCTTGTCCTGAGCGCGAGGTTTCCCGTTTCCTTGAGGATGTGCCTTTTCCTTTTCAAAGGACCGAAGGGGAAATCACAACTTTGGGGATTCCAACAGTTGGAGATACCCAATGCAACTCGCTTGAGTAGATTGGCAAGTGAGGAAACCTCCCAACAGGTTGGGCTGATTTGGCGGTTTGCTACCTCGAGAAAAGTATCGTTAGGTAGGTGCTTCTGAAAATGGGAACTGGTCCCCAAAAATGGCAACGGTTTGGTCACCATTTTGAGAACCTCCACATTCCGGTCAAATGGCGGTGGAAAGGACAAAACTTGAGCCTCTTCCGCCCCTGAATCCTGCAAGATCCTGCAAGTTGCCGCTGTCTCCTTTGCCCGGCATAATTTTGATGCTCCAAGGCCTTGAAAGAATATTGTTGCAAGCTGGTGATAATTGATCATCCCACTTCTGCCATGCAAAACGAGTTCGGAAATTCGATCCACAGGCGATCCACACTGCTTTGAAGAGACAAGCAAGAGGCACAAATGTTTGCCCTCCTAAAGTAAGGATTCGACCCTCAACCAAAATCACAATAAGTCACCTAAATAAGATGCCCTGTCGAAACAAGTCTTTCAATTGGCCCCGGCCACACTGAGCTCATTTGTGCAGTGCCCAACATGCCGGGCGCAGGTCGCTTTGTCCCTCGCTTGGAACCTGAAAGTAGTTGTCGAGATCTATGAGGGTCCATGACCCGCCCCTCTAGCCTCCGGCAAGTGGATTTTTGACTAAAGGTAACCCGGAAACTTGCAATTGTATTAATATGAATGATCTTAATCGGGGGCTCTTGGTGGACATCCTTCACAAAGGGCTTTCTGTCCACCAACCATTCGTCAAGTCAAGAGTTTTCCCAATGAAACCTCATTGACACATGCAAGGGTCCATGACAGTCCATGACCATCCCTAGCCCAAGAGTGCGACGCCTAACGACCTAGCACGGAGCCCCAGCGCATATACCAAAGATAGACATACCTACTGACCACCACATTTCCCTCCAAGCAGCACTTGTCCCAAGGACCTGGACACTTGCTGGGTAGCTGATTCCTTGAAGTTAAGCATCTGGCAGTGAATGACATAAATCCCGGTGACTCAAAAGCACGAAATGGGAATGGCCAACCTCCAAGCAAAAGGTTGATACAGGCGGACGAAACATCGATTGGAAACGGTGCATTTGCTCTGGACCGGGATCTGCGACATTTGGCCAATAGAAAGTCATTGCCCAAGTCTGATCGGTCAGGTCAGATCCAAGGGGCGTTGACGGCAAGCGCGCAGCGCTCGAAGATCATGGAGAAGCAATAGAGAGCCTCTGGCTATAGCTCCGTCCCTTTGGTTCCAATTTAAAGCGCCACCCACTCAAAGAAATTGGAGAACAGGGCACTGGGCTGCGGTGGGGAGAAATCAGTCATCCACGGCCTCAGGTCAGCTTTAGCGACGATAGCGGGGGCGGATATTGGTCCAGGTGGCAATGTCAGGTGTTTGGTGTCCTTTTCTCCATTCAATTTCTTCCACAAGACAGGGTTGCACCGACCTAATCACATGTAGAAGATTGGTCGCTTGCCCTTACGACGGTTTGGTCAAAGTGGCTCTCTTCATGGAAAGCAACACATCGCTTGTAAATGACAATGCCTGAGCGGATTGGACATGTTTGGCTTGCTACTTGACTTGCAGGATCTCCAGCGTCCAAATCCAACCAAGTCTCAAGTGCGCAGAAGGTCCCTATCCTGAACCAAATTGGTTGGGACTTGCGAAGGCTAACTGCATTCTTCCGAAAATCAACCGAAACAGTGATCGAAAATACCGGAACCTGTTCCTTTCCCCCTCCGCTCTAAGTGGTGATGAGAGGATGATAAGCCCTTCACTCGATTTCCCACTCAGAAGTTTCAATTCACTGGCGGTGTCCAACGAACATAGAGCTTTTCGCAGCTCCAAAAAATGAATTGAGAAACCGCTCTTGGAGGTCCACGTTGACCCCCCAGTGGCCATGCGGAAAACAGGGCAATCTTATTTTGGGCAGTTGATCTTCAAGGGGCCCACCCCCTTCAGAAAAAGTGGATCAAAGGAAATGCAGTCCACTACAACCTGATAAAACCTTCTTCTGGTTGCATTTGTCCGAGGCGCGCCGTTCCTCACAGCACGGGCATCTGGGCTCTGCCCTTTCGAGCGATCCCAGAGCCTGGCCACTTAGAGCAGCCAAGGTGGAGGCTCAATAGGCCGAGGGTAATGAAGCTGCGGGGTCATTTTGTAGCGGACAACGCGGAAAGAAGTGCTGAACATTCGCAATGAGAAAATTTCTGGTCTCAATACGCCTGTGGCAATCTGAGGCAAAGCATCCGCAGGAAAACGGCCGCTGGATCTATGATGTGGGAAGGCCTTGTTAATTTAGGTGGGTTGAGCAAGCGTCCATGCCCACTCCCATTTTCTCGTAACTCACATTGAGCACGAAGGACATTCATTGAGGGACATTGATGGCTAGTACAAGCTAAGGGTGAATGGCAAGCCCGCCCCACCCGGCCGTCAAGACCCAAGGACAACCACAACTCACCCCAAGAACGAATTATTTCCCCAAAACCAGTACAGTACTGCCACGTAAACACTGGATGCACGGCAAGTCCGCTTCCACCAACAGGCCTAAGTGATACAGTCCAAACTCATGGGACTGGTGCCTTGCGGAATCACATGCAGGGTCTTGCGCAAGTATGTTCACTCTCAAAAGTGTCCATCTGGACAAATTACTATTCAGAAGCCGGAAATCGTGAATTCTAGGGGTCTTCAGCATGTGCGAGGACTTTTTTGGACCTTTTGCCTTTCGCAGAATTGCCCACCACATCCGTCGACACCTGGTGAGCACATTGTGGGAGATGGAGGGCGACACCCTGAGGTCCGTGAAAGGCAGCGCGACTTCGAAGGGCTGGCCCTGCAAGGGTTGGCGGTGTGCCACGAAGAGCACGTCCCCGTCCTGGCGGACACTGCACGCGAGACGAAAGTTGAAGGAAAGGCTACCAAACCAGTTTGACTATCCCGCAAGGGCGTCCCTTTCTCGGGTATCCCGGAATCCCGTTTTGGCTGATTTACAGGAACACCAAAGGAAACACCAACCATTTTATTCTGGGTCCATTGCAGTCACGTCCTCAAAACGTCCCGCTTGTTGATGCTCTAAAGGGAACCCACCCCTTTAATCGTGGTCCCAGGTTGAGTGTATGCACCCATCAAGACGAATCCTTTTTGGCTTCCTTCGATAGGTTGGCAGCATCTTACCGCCCAACCGCAAGGACTCGGAGGGTCTATCTTGCCGCAAGCACCTTCTTTACGAGAGGGTCTTGGGCTTTTCCGGAAAGATTCGGATCCCTGCACAGATTGCTTAGACGATGGGCAAGCGCAACCCAAAGAGGATGGACACCACAAACAAATGGACGGCACTGGAATGTGATTGACACCACACTCCAACACGGCCAATCTATGATTCACTGAACAAGGTATAGGCACACCGTATTTTAAAGAAACAAAGGATGATGCTTGGCTACCTACTCTTAGAAGCCCACGGGCCATGCGAAAAAGGGGGCACCCCACTTTGTTGGTTGGCTTTTACGGGACACTCGTCCCGCCCAGAAAGGAAAGGCAGCAGGGATCTGGCGGAAGTTTCAATGGTTGGAAGTAACGCTCCAGAATCCCGCCCGCCCCCCCCCCCCCCAAACAAAAAAAAACAACAACAACAACAACAACAACAACGGGGCTAAGTACTTGCAGAGACTATTCTTCTATGATCATGACTCAACTTGGTGTTAATGTGCCCCATCCTTATTCCTACTAGTCCTACTAGTGCTACTAGTACAACTGGCACTGCTAGTACCACTAGTACTAGTACGAATAGCAGTACTACCACCACCACTATTACCACCGCTACTACTACTCGTACTACACCCCAGAGAAGCATACCCTCAAAACACCAGTTCCCCTCTTCAGCCATCTTTTGGTTTTGGATAGATGTTGACACTTGTTGCTTTTCAGCAGAGAACTATATAACTTGGTCACCCTAAACCCAGGATATGTTGCCCTTTTCCGTTCCCCTTTCAGCTTCCCATGGTCAATCAACAATCTCTGGCTTCCCTGTTTGGTCTCGCCGCGCAAGTGCCCGTAACCCGACGGGATCCCGAGCTCCTCGAAGTTGAGGCGCTGCGACTCGAAGAGCTGCCCCATCGAGGCGCGGCCGAGGTTCCGGTGGTGCGACAGGTGGCCCCTGGATGTCGTGCTCTCTGTTCGGCTCACGTGGTGGACTTTCTGGAGAAAATCCCAGGGACTTTTCAGAAGTTGGACTGTTCATGGATTCTTTGGGAAAACGGTTGGGAAAACAATTCTTAGTAAGGGGACCTTTGCGGAGAAACGATTGCTCCTTTAGAGGGTGTGAAAATAAATGCAAAAACACATCCTTTTGAGTTTCTGGGAAAACGACTTCTAGTTGGTATTGACTGCAGCCAATGAAGAATCAAACGGTTCTGTGAGCTGGGCCAACGAGCTCTTCAGTCCAAGTTTCAGCCTAAGCGGCCCTTTTAGTAACGGCTGCGATTTGCTTTTCGTTGGCCACGGTCATGGTTCTTTTAAACTATTGGAATCCCTAGTAACCCGGATATCGACCATCGCGCGCAGCCCATGTTTTCGCAACAACCCATCCATGAACTCTAGGTTTCTAGGCCAAGTTAGGTGGGAACAGAGCCTCGAAGAATTAGCGGGGTTCTTATAAGCGTTTCAAACGGGCTGCGGGGGTCTTGGAAACCTGCGATATCAAACATATTCCGCTTAATCGTTCAGAAGTTTGATTCAGTTTTTGATGGGTCAGCCACGCTTGAAACGTCCGCCTTTTGGTTGCTCGCCTTTGAAGGGTGCCAGTGTCACATCCACTTTAGCCAGGCGGGACAACAAAGGCAATCGCAGAACCCAACGTGCGGAACAAGACCCAATGCAACGCTCCGAAAAATAGGTTGATCCTGGCCTGAATCAAACAATGCAACATGAATTCAAGGGAGACAAACATACCCCCCAGCAAAAAGGCTTTTGAACATGTTGCCGGAGGATTGAGCCTCTGCAGGTACAGGTGGTACCCGAAGATGGTGGGAAAGCTCAGCCAAAACCTGAGCTGAGCTTGTCGTCCGCCGGCCAAAAAGGCAGACAGTGGAGCAAAAGGGGGGCGCCCTGATTTAGCAGATCCCTCCAGTGATTAACCAGGGGCTATTATTGGCTATGGCCGGATTCTTAGTGGTTTTCTTCCGGCGGACATGACCTGACTGATAACTGGGTGGTCTACTAGTCAGATAGTCAGCTTTCAAGACCTGAATCACAGGACTGGAATCCTTTTGAAGAGACACACCGTCCAAATAATCCGCTAGGTTGATTCATCCGTCAACCAAAACAGGATAGCGGCAGCAGCTGCTCCCGCGTTGTGCGATCTCCACGCAGGCAGGTGCCGTGTAAAAGATCGTGCAGCACGGAGAAGGAGCACCTGAGTAAACAGGACAGCACCCAAGGCGCTGGGCATGGTTGGCCGTTGAGGCCATGACTTGTTCACACACCCACTTGAACACTCCAGAGAACCGGGAACCTCAAAAACCCTCCGTTTTTAGGGTGACTGTTGGCTCTAGCAGCGCAATTCTGAAGGTGTTGCCTTGCTACAAATTCCATGAACCAAGGGATAGAGCCACCCACTAAAAAATCTACAAGGGTTGTCTGCTTCCCTTTGGTTTCCTCCTAAATCAACCTAAAAAAATGAGTTGGTCTCAAAATGGCTGAAGCATGTATCAAGCTCTTGGTGACTGTTGCCCCTCTGCCTAAGTAGCAGGCAAGTAAAGGAGTCTGTTTACCCACACCCAAACATGAACACCGCCACAGTGCCCCATGCACAGCGCCCCATGCACAACATTCGACAGTGAAATGGCTCGGCATGCCAAAAAGCTCCTTGGGAGGGACACAATGGTGAAAAGTCCCAACTCCCAACAAATCTCGGCATTTGTTGGCAACTTTCCAAGTGGAACTCCTCAACTACTCCCCTGCACCAATTGCATGTGAACGCTTGGTGGCAACATCTCCTGCATCGAAAAGCTCCACTTTTCGATGGTTGTCAAACTGGGGAATGCACATGTTTCCCGAACAAAGTAGAGAAACTCAAGCAAATGATCAAAGGCGCACTTTTTGCGGAACTGATTGTTGCAGTTGGGATGCCCTGTGAACCATGCCCTATTACTACCTCAGCTTGTCCCAGATACACCAGGTTTGTCCGCCCCATGCCCAATTAGTACCAACCAACCAACCCAACCGAACCGAACCGAACCGAACCGAACCGAACCGAACCGAACCGAACCGAACCCAGCCACCAGGCAATCAACAACAACAATGCATGATTTGGAAGGCCTTGCCGATTTTGCTTGTTTTGCTAATTGCTGGTAGCTGCTCCAGATGGCGGGGCGCACAAGGGGAGTCGATTGGCTGGCTTTGGATCGACGTGTGTTTTGAAGGATATGCTTGCCATAATTTTCAGTTTTACATTTCTACAAAGAACCGCCCTGAAAGACTTCTGAAATAACCACCTTGTGGAGGGTTCGAGACAGCCCCACACAATTGCTCCGACAGGGATTGTGAGGAAAACGTAGGGTCGGAGCAGGTTCAATCCCCTGTTACATGTTGCAGCTGCGTAAACAACCTCCTGGGTTCCCTTTCAGGGTCCAGTCATAGTTGAGCAATTCGGAGCCAGGATCTGGGTCTTTTGAAGGAGGAAACGAACTCCATGGGGTCCAACCCCCTTTCACGAGCCATACCCATTTGGACTCAAAAATCCCAGGCGCAGCGAAAGGGTGCCGCCCGCGGCAACTGCCAAGGCCGCTACCCCGCAAAGGCTCAGTGCCTGCGTAAGGCAATCGGGGTTACTGACCAGTCCCTATATTTCCCTGGCGAACATCACCTAGGAAATGCAGCTTTGCAGCTTCGAGGGAAAACCTCCCCGACCCACTCCCGCTTGACCAATGTTCGTCACTTCCTGTGATGTGTCAGGCCAAGTCCATGTTTGGTTGATGCCCCTTTGAGCGAGTCACAAAGGGTTCCCAAACGGCAATTATGTCCTCTCCCATGCACCAATGAACTGATTTAGAGTGGCGACATTTCACCGGTTTTGGCGGCTTGGAGAAAAATCCTATGCCCCAGTAAGGATTCGAAAGGGATCTGCTGAGGGTCAGCAGGATGTTGCCTTTGGGACTAAAATCCTGTCAATGAGGTTCTGGAGCAGTTTGAAGCCAAATGTCATGATTCTGGGAACAGCATGTTTATATTGATTTAGCCCTCGCACTACCCTAGGGTTCCCCAGTCTGTTTTCTCCAGTCTTCCCCACAAAAGGAGCAAAAGATACACAGAACTCCAAGGTTTTATATTCGACAAGGGCTATATCTCATGTTGTGGAACACTGAGAGCATGGTTGCGGAAAAAACCCTTTCTGCGATACCAAAGCGGGCTCTCCCTTCAGTATGACTACTTCCCTTTTCGGGGATTCAGGTAGCGCCACTCACAGAAAGGGTTGCAACACACATCTTTTCCTGCAACAATGTGAAGGTATCCAAGGATGCTACCCTGAGATCATGGGTCTTGGAATCAAAAGGATTCCCTGAGGTGGCAAGGAAAAAGGACCTTTGTTAGGTTGATATTGAGACACCCAAGGGACAAAGGGCACCACTGGAAGTCGCGGTTATTTCAAGCAAACTGCCCCTCTGCCCAGGTGACTTCGAGAATCTGTCAAGCTTGCTGCTGAGCAACTCTAGATCAACCCCCTAAGCAGACCACTTGAAGTGCAAAACCCCGCACCTGATGGATGAAGCCCTGCAACCTCTTGGGCTACCAATCATTGGTATCGATTTGCCTCGTTGTCGCTGGTCTGCAGCGAGAAGCCCGCGAAGCAGGCGAGGCCCAGCTGCGCGGCGTTGGCAAAGACCAGTAGCCTCTTGACGCGGGGAGTTTCTCGAGATGGGCAGCTGCCTCAATTTGAGTACGTTTCAATTGCGTAACCCGGGGTTGATGGCTGGAAACTTTCGTTGTTTTTGGGAAAGAAGGAACCCGTTGCCAGTTTAGCGGGGGCGACTCCTCCTATTTTGAGGAACATGTGTGGGGGTTTGTCCCCTAAGCAATACCCTGGGTTGATTCAGATGGGCTCAGAGAGGGGTGTCTTTCATAACCCCTCGTCGGGCTTTCCTTTCCAAAAGGGGCGTTGTAACCCAAATCAAAGGGGCGCGGACCCCTTTATCGCAGACCCCTTGCAAAGTCCAAAATCTTCGGGGAGATCTTGGCATCGGCCAACATTTATCTGGAACTTCCTCCAAACTCAGGAATGGCAAATACCCCTTGGCTAGTAAGACAACCCATGTGCACGTCTTGTCGTGATCATAGCCTAGCAAGTGGGCTGAACATCAAGCAGGGAATCCGGTTAAAAAAAGCTGAGCAGCAATCCAGTCAGGGAAAATCCGGCTTTTCAACATCTACCCTTCAAACAACTGGCTGGTGATTGGAGGCCTTCACTGCGTGTCGTTTTTGGAGGGTACCCCTTTTTGTGCTTTTGAAGGGAAACCATACCTGGATCTCCTGGAAGTTAAGAATTCCTACTCCAAAATTGAAGTACTTTTTGGCCTGAGGACACGGGTATTTCCACTTTCGAACGGGTATTTCTACTCTTGAACGGATATTTCACTACCATCGAAGTGTTCATAAATCAGCACTGCACATAAATTATCAAAGGCTTATTGCGTAATGTTGGCGTATTTTTTACGTACCTCCGAACGGTCCGAACGGGTCCGAACGGGTACGAACGGGTTCGAACGGGTTCGAACGGGCTTCGAACGGGTTTCGAACGGGTTCCGAACGGGTCCGAACGGATGCCTGAGCAGTCGGAACTACCCGAACGGGCATTTTAACACGGAGTGAAAATTATCACTCCAGCATGGAAGAAAGTACTTTTTTCTTTTTGGAGTGGGAATTATTAACTTTCAAGAGATGCAGGTAAGGAAAACCACAATTCTCGCGGGTTCATGAACAAAACACAAGCGCCCATTTTGCGATCCGTTGGACCCAAATACGATCATCCATTTCCTCGTTTCGCGCAAATGGCTTCAAGTGGCGGCAGGGTGCGCGCGTCGCTGCCGCGAAGTTCCCCCAGCTCGGGGTACCGGCGCAGTATGGCCTTCCGCCGGGCCTTGTGCCACTCTGCTGCCGGGGCCTCGAATCGAATCGGACCGGCTCGGTTTGATGTGTTTTGGGTTGGTCTCACAGGGGCTTCGTCATTGTATAGAATCATCTGCTTGTTTGTCAGTGGTGTACCTTATAGCACTTCTTTACTTGCTGTTTCAGGGTTCCTTAAAGGGTATGTGCAGATACCGACTGCTTTACAGGGATTCGGATGCCCTAAATAAAGTGCAATTGGGTGTTCTTTTGACCCTATGTCTACAAGATCATTTAATTGTTCATACTTAGGTGTTTACTTGCCTATCGCATTGGATGATGTGTTTAGGTAGTTGGGGATTCACGTTCCCATGCATTGCTTTACTTATGCTTTTAGTGCTGTTTGTAATTGATTTATTAAATGTGTGCTCATTCATATTCTTGTCTATCCTATCTATTGAATTACCTATTCATGTACCTCTTCATGTGTGTGCATAGGTCATTCATCTACTGTCATCGAATGTCATGGTTTTGTGTATATTCAGCTGTTCATCTACGTATCGCTTGCTTACTTTTCTTGTAACGGTTGCTAGGCTCATAATTTGCGATTTAAATAGCTATGACCAAGATTTGTCATCTGATATTTGTCTGTGTCTTCGGTTGTCTATCGAGCTATGTGTCTATCAATTTACGTGCCACTTTCTACTCGTTGTTGACTCATCAATTCACCAACGCAATGGATGTCTTCTAAACATATTCACTTATTCCAACTATGTATTCATGATGTTCATCTACTCAGTGTTTTGTTCATTCATCTGTTGCCTATCTATTCACAGGAGCAAAATGTTCCAGCCCCAGTCCACCTAGGGCCAGTGCTTAAAAAAAGGCAAAACCTTTTGGTGCCGTGACAAAACTATAATTGACATGGGAAGACCAACAGGTCAAACATTCGCCTTTGGACCCGTTTCCAGTGTCAAAAGGGTTTTGCATAAAGGTCATGAGCCTATTTTGACCCTAAACTTCTGGTTGATTTTGCTTGGGAGGTATCCCGTTAAAGAGGGGTCCAAATTCCCTGTGGGGGCGAACTCCCGTCCGGACAACACCCTGCCCCAGTTGGTTGAGGTCTTCTTGCAGGATTGTGCCCATCCACTTCATCCCGATTTTCTACTTGAGAAGCTGATTGCCAGTTCTGGCGAAACTTTGGTTCTTCGCAGCTCACAAAAACGGACAAAAGCGAAGAACACAACAACCTTTGTCTCCGCACAGAACCCTGAGAATAGGGGCCATTGGTACCCTAAAGCCAGACTCATGAGATAATGATGTCAGAAATTTGTCAGCCCCTGTTCCCCAACGCCGCCTCGGCTCGGCAAGCCGTCCGCAACGACCTCGCGGCAGCAGCCGCGGCCGCGAGGCATCCGAAGCCAGCGGAAGAGCGGGTGGCCCTGGGCTTCGCCTGAACGGGATATGCGGTGCACACCAGTTGCAACCAGTGGCGCGAAAGGTAAAACGAATTGGACCTTTCTTCGCGGTTGATTCCATTTTGGTTGGACACCCGCAAAACAAAAGGGGAAAAAGGGGTGCCTCTGAACGACTGGGTCTTCTTGTGAAATGAGATGGCAGAACTCCCCCATGCTGGTTTCATTCCCTCCCGCTATTATGCACAAATTGTGTTAATCCACCCGGCTGTTCAAGCATCCAAAGAGACCTTCATGGGCGAGCTCGTTTTACAAGTTCAAGCAACCTGTGGTGAGTCGGAGTTCCGGGGTATCTCAGTGGATCGTACCACAAAGGATACTCTCAGAAACTTGCAATACCTGGATTCAAATAAGTCGTCGACAAACAACCTATCTTTCCCACAGAGCAAAATCAACATGCGTCTGCGTGCTTTTGACGGTAAATTCCCCCAGCCAACAAGACTCTCCATCCCCCTAGTATCTCAGCATTTGACCACTAAAACGAAATTGAGATTCTGGTCCACATTTCACGAAGCTTAAAATGCAACATGAGGCCATAAGCGGTCCCAGAGGGGTTGGACGACTCTTCCATCAAGGCTACCCAATTCAAAGATCACATCCCTTGCTTGACAAATGATGTCAGCACTTGACACTTTTTCCACAGCTGAACCTTTTGGCTCTTTGCCCAGATAGTCTCTGGAGTGGTTCGGAGCGGCTGCATGCAAGGGCTCTGGGGGTTGTTGTTGGGGATCCCACCTGGCCTTACTTCTATTTGATATTGTCATTCTTAAGAATATTTGACATGAAATGCTCTAGGTTTTCTTTTGAACACAACTTCAACTAATTGTTTTTGAATGACCAATTGTCGAGACCAACGGGCCTGCAAAAGATGGCCAATCCGTTTCAGTGTCTTGGGGCGGAATCCAAGCCCGCAGTTTCCCTGTGGTTCCCTATGCAAAAAAGGAAAGGATTTTTGCGAAACAAGGCGCGCCCGGTTGCTCCCAACCTGAGCAACCAGCTCGCTACTTGATCACTGCGTGGTCCCGCCTCGCTGAACCAGCGACGCCTGGCAGAGCTCCTGAACGGCAAGCGTGCGCGATATGCGGCGGCTGGACAAGCATCCAGCGTTTTCTATTTCAGACCGTCCATGGCAGGGATACTCCAACAAAGCCACCACTGTGCCCGCATGAGCGGGTTTACAGCAACTCAAAAAGCTAAACATGCAACCAACAGCAGTCCAAAGACATTTTGCCTTCATTTGCAGAAGCCATGAACCCCCATGGACCCCCTGCCATTTGGGTCAAACATTTGATACTTGAATTCAACGGCAGCCACAGCCCCCACAGTTCCTTCTATTTTTCACCCTCAAGCATCGCTTTAGATTTGAATGTTCAAAGCCACCTAAAGGGAGCACATAAGGAACTCTGACTGCCCGCCACAAAACTAATAGACATGCTAGTGGCGATGTTTTCAACAAATACATCTGCATGAGCAACACTTCTCGCCTGCCAAGATCTCTAAACACCTTGTCCCCATCGGAGCTGTGTCAACATCCAAGTTGACCTGGTGTGTCAACATGTCTAGTTGTTGCAACACTTTTTCAGGTTGCTGACTCAGCACCAAGTCCAGCCTCATCAAGGACTGAAGTTCCTTGTACTCATGTCTTGCCTCGTGCTGACATGCTTCGTAGGCTTGACGGATGCTCATCGACGTAGCTGTGATGGGATGTATACTATCGATGCACAGCGTTCTTGAGTTGTAAAATTGCAATTCACCAAGCAGACATCTGAAAGAAACCCTCATGGTCTATTTGGTCGCAAACCAAAACTGGTTTGAGATCGCTATCATTGCCCAAATCATTCGCCTTCCCAAAGGAATCTGCAAACCGAACATGGTGCTGGCAAGTTCGTCTGTGAACACCGTTGCTTTGGCTCATTGGCGCATCACCAGCTCCAAACCCAACCATGCCTGCGCGGGTTTTTTGCTGGGGAGTCATTGCATATGTGTGGTGTGTACCTGGTCTGAAAGGTTGTTAAGAGCAAACCAAAAACGCAAATCATCAAGTTGGAAGTGCTCCTTGTTCGGCACATACCCACATTGACGACTGGGTGGTAAAGAGGGGAGGCTGGAAATCTACGCATCCTTTCATGTTTTACGGATGCGATCAGACATGGTGTAATTACAAATCACCAGGTGCCCGTAGTAAAGAACCTTCATCACGACTTGAGCTGATTTCACCCTCAAATCCTCTCGGTTAAGATGCCAAATGGCAGCAATGGACGTGCGAAAATAAAAACCGTCCACTAGTTCGGGTGTTCAAAAGCCAGCGGCGTGCACCCCTCCTCTGCAGCGGGGCATGGGGCACCGCGGACCGCGCTGGGAGCTGAATGAACATCCAGCCAACCGATGGCACTACACTCACCTCCAAATTCGGGGGTGGGTCAGTGGGTCGGTTTGCTTCTTTTGGGCGAGTTCCTCTTTTGGTCAATTTTATCGTAAATCACAAGGACGCCAAAACCTGCTGCTTGGCTGGGCCAGATCAGGTTGATCCTTGCTTTATCCCGTGGCTGGGTTGGCCCTCGCTTGGTGCAGTTGCTGCCGCTTGACCAGGTAAGCTTCTTCCCCTGCTGCGAGTTTCGCCATATTCAGCATCAGCATCACAGCTTAAAGGGCAGTTTTCAAAGTAAGAGATGGGGGTGGGCACCCTTTTTCAGCCGAAAGCTGTTTCATCCCAGTTGAGGTTTTCTCGAGACTTTTTCTTGAAGCCTTGGCCCCATGTGGGGAACTCATCACACTGTGAGCCGCGTGGCTACTCCCATGCGAAGACACGCTCATGTCGCACTTTGAGCAACCTTCCAGCTGCACAAATGCTGGTGTGTTGCGTGGCCCCCCAAAGGCTTCTTCAAGTTGTTGCATGTAATCTAGACAAACTACCCAAAACACGGTCAGCCAAGAACAGGGGGGAGGTCGAACAGTTTGTGATGTGGCGATTAATCGGCCCAACCCGCCCACAAGGGGCCAACGCAGTTCCTTGGCTCTACGTTGCGTGTCTCCAATTTTGCAGACCTGCTTGGATGCTCAAGGCAAATCGGGTAACTAGGTGATTACTGCTGTAGCGAAGGCTAAATGAGGGAATAGCTGGGCTGGGGAGGAACACTTCATGTAAGCATTATTTATTGTTAACCCTGTCTAATCATATTACCACATGCCGCTTCCAGAGTCACCTAACTCCCATGCGATGGACACAACTTCAAGGTGTCCTAACATTCTATTTCTTTATCAGCGATTGATTGGATAATATTTTTCTTGACATTATTTCATTGTGTTTACCTATCTTATTGCCAGCTATGACCGTTGCAAATGAGCAGAACTGGGACTGGTCCCCTTGTAGCTGCCTGCCTGACGTCAGGAACTGCACCCCCCGGCCCAAGACCTCCAGGGACCCCAACGTTATTTGGCTGCAACAACTGTTGGGCTCCCGCAATAATGGGAACCCTGGATAAATAAACCTCAGTTTACTCATAGGGGGTGTCCATCGTTTTAAGTGGGGAATCATACCCTTTTTGGGCTTGGTTCTAAGGAAACCAAAGCGATACCAACCATTTTCGGGTTTCCCCTATTTTTAGACAAACCCATGTGCGTGCCACATGAAGCGGGCTGCCCGTGAAAGCTTCAGCGCCTTTCCACCGCCCCGCTCGGCAGCGATGGACGCGCGGCCTCGAAAGAATAGGGAGTCGTGGTTGGTGCATGGCTAAAGCTTTTCAGCAAAGCAGCATCCCAGGGCTTTAACAATAATTAGTTTACTCAATGGCTGCTTAAATTTGCATATTGTCAGCCAGGATGTAATGCCCAATGGCTGAAATAACAATGGCTTCAACATGTTTGCTGTGTCCGATTTTCAACGAAGCTCTAAACATGCGCGCTTTTCGGGTTCCATGACTGATCTGGGGAGCAATCATCATGCACACACGGGCTGTTGGGAAAATTGACAAATGGTCTATGACAGGTTTGGGGACTCTCTAAATTTCCCAAAACCAGGGGCGCTCTAATTGTCCAAGGCCCATTTCGGATATTTCGATCAAACAATTCGCAAGGATGCCCCTCCTCAAAAGGGTGTTTAGGCCATTGTAGGATTTGTTCCAAAAGGAGCGGTTCAGAACGGCTCAAGCCGGAATCTGGGAAATGCAGCCAGTTCAATGAACCCTGAGTTCCATGAATGTAGATTGCCAGGGGCTACTGGCCCATCGAGCCGATTTGCTATAGGAGCTGAGAGATTTTAAGGCTGGGTTCTGCGCAACTGGAGTATATGATATCTGTTTGACCGAGTGGGTTGGCCACACAAAGTAACCAAACTGTTTGACTACCACTAAAGTTGTCCAAGCCCAAAGTGTGGCCAAAGTCCGAAACGGAACTCTGAGTGGCAAGGTCTATACTTCTGTTGGTCATGGTTGTTTGCTGTGTAAATTTCTTAAGGGCTCATGACCCGTCCTCTAATCCCAAGTCATTCACTGGTTGTTTTCACCATGGCTCGTTCGCGTTCAGAGGGCCGAAGCTCCCTGGCTCAGAAGGCGACTTTGCTCTTTCCGGCAGCCGCAATTTCCCGCAGCATCCCAGCCCTGTGGTTCCGGGGCCCTTGGGTTGACTTTAGTGGGGACCCACCAACCTAAAAAAGGATGACACTGGGAGTTCGGAAGCCCTTGGACGTGAGGTGTGCTCATAAAATGAGATGGAACGAGGGCCAGGAAATACAATCTGAAAATTCGATTCATGGTGCGGTCGGTTTCGAGGGTTTTTGGATTTATCGAGAGTGCTTCATGTTTTGATTTGTGACAATTTGTGTGGTCAAGGGCTTGTATGCTGCCTTTTTGGGTTTTGAAACTTGATTCAGTCAGCTTTGTGACTTTGCCTTGTAAATTAAGGGGCGGCCTCTGCTTCGGTTTGGTCAAGAGGTTCAAATCCCCAGGTCCAGGTTACTTGCTCAGGGCTTGGTTTGTTTGGCTCTTGCTTTTGTGGTTCTTCTCACTCCTCTTTGGCCCACTAAAGGTTTAAAACCTGGTTGTAAAGGTGAAATGTTCTCAACGAGCCTGCTCGGTGTCAGGGCTCAAAACGAGAGTTGGTGTCATCATTGCATACTTAATAGATCTGCCGGGGATTGGTCCCTCAATTCCGTGAGCTAAACATACACACACACACACAAAAGCAACCCCTCCAACTCGAGTCAGTTCGGCGACCATGGCATTTCTCTCCTCCCCAAAATTTGCTTTTCTCTCCATGCGTTTCGCCGCGCTCGGTATTCCGCGCCTGTAGAGCTGGTGCCTGGCTTGGAGGTACTGCTGCCGCTCTGAGCGCCTCACACGGAAGAACCCGCAAGTGACAGCTTAATCTCACCGATGCAAAGTGGCCACGAAAAGTAAACAACACTTTTGTTTGCCGTTGAAATGGGTCCAACCCCGCAAAGTGGCCAAAGTCCAGGAACTCAGGGAAGTGGTAATGACATTTGCACATTCCCAGTTGACCTGGTAGAAAAGGGAACCATCGTTTCTGGGGGACCAAACTTGCCAAACATCGAACGTGCAACGAGGACCCTGCCTGACTTGCGAAAAGGGAAGCGCAAAGGGTTTAAAGGTAGGCTTACACCTGAGTACCACGGCTATACTTGGGATTGAACACAGGCTAACTGTTGGGATAAAGGCTTGCTTGGTAATCAGGCCCCTTTTATTTCACCACTATCAAAGTCACCCTCATTCAGTGGTAGATTAAGGGAAACAACCCCAGCTTGACTTGAAACAACAAGCCGGTTGACCCCGGAGAATGGGAGGGCCGGGTTCCCAACCCCCATGATTGAGAAAACAACTTATCCGAAGGCGGATTTCAAAGTTGGAGGCTGACCCAAAGCAGGGCTCATATATGTTGGTTAAACCTCACCCTTTGAAAGGGACCCCCCGCAAAAAAAGGTGAACTATGGCAAAAAGGGAAATCGACCAAGAACACTTCCCAATTAGACCAACAGGGGATGCATGAGCCATCCGAAACCCACACCCCTGCAATTCCATGGGAAAAGCCGGATCGGCACACTTTTCTTTTCGGTTTTTCAGGATTTGGGTTTGTCTTAAAATAGGGGAACCCCCAACACGGTTGAAATCCTTTTGGATTCCCTGAACAACCCACAGGGCACCCAAGAAAGGAGCCACACTCATTTGCACCCGGAGGTCCGCGAGGAAAACGGCTCGAAAGCGGCCTCCTTGGGTAAAGGAGCCGCTTGCCTGGCAGGTTCGTCGCACGTGGCCCGAACGTGACTTTTGCCGGGGAACCGGGTCCCGACACAAATACGTCTCCATAGAGACGAGAAAGTTTGCAAGTTGGTGGGCGTTGGGGGAATCATAACCAACCACTTTGGAGAGAACACCTTCTATTACAGGGCATGCCAGTATGGGCCACAGTCGAAGAGCATGTTACCCGAAAGGAGGTGGAATCAATTCTCTGTTTGTAGGACATCTAGTGAGTCCTCCAATGTTGCTCCCGAACTGACCATCGACTACTGGACATTTTGACCGACTCCTTGCACAGGAACCCGTTGAATAAGCGGGCCCTTGATTTTACGAAGATTGGTTCAACAAATAAATGTCGGATCATCCATCTTCAGTTGGCAAACAAGTGCAATGACCATTTCCCTTGAATCGACCACTAGCAGGAAAAGTCACACTCCACCATCCAAGAGCCTTGGGAGAACAGTACAAAGGGTGCTCTTGTTTTTATCGATCCATCTATCTATTTACTTTGTTTTGACTCATATTTGGAAAGTACCTCCCCAGAGTCGGTGAAAAAACAGGACCTTGAATTGAGTGCAAATTTCTATTCTTAAACAGAAACTGAGGAATCCCCAGCAACGTACTTTCATCGGTGAGCTTGCTTTACTTCCATGGAGCTTGCTATTTCTCCATACTTTCTCGTGTGCATAAAATAACCAAGCTTTCTGATCAGTCCAACTCCTCCGGAGATAAAACAAAAATGAAATTTCCCCAGTTGCCCGGTAACCGCTGGTAGCCTTCCATGTGGGGTACCCACAAAACAAAAGCCAAAACGAGCATCACTGAACAACTGGATGTTGCAAAAACTCATTTGGGTTTTACCAATAACATGGCCTTCAAGATTAATATGTAGCTCCCTTTCTCCCCCAATAAAACCATGTAGTAGAACCACCTCTTAAAATGGCAATTTGCGTTTTGGCCCCTGCTCAAATCTTGGTGCACATCTGGGGCACTCCAACAAACGTATGCTGATGCTGTTTCACATTTAGCCTACCCCAAACATATTAGTTTTGGAGGAGGCCCCAGAAGTCATCTGGGGGGGGAGTGGTAGTGTAGTAGATGGGCAAGAGGACCAAGCGCTGACGTCAAGCGGCGGCAAGTGTGGGGAAGTTGGTAGAGTTCCTAAGCACTTC